TTTTTTTTTTTTTTTTCTTTTTTTGAGTTGGAGTCTCACTCTGTTGCCCAGACTGGTGTACAGTGGCATGCTCCCGGCCACCACAGCCTCGACCTGCTGGGCTCCAGCGATCCTTCCTTCTGCCTCAGCCTTCCAAGTAGCCAGAAATACAGGCACACGCTACCATGCCCAGCTAATTTTTGTTTGTAGAGACAAGGTCTTCCCAAGTTGTCTTGGCTAGTCTCAAACTTATGGGCTCAGGCAATTCACTCGCCTTAGCCTCCCAAAATGCTGGGATTACAGGCTGAGCCACCGAGCCCAGCCAGAATGCAATCTTTTAAAACATTGGTTAGTTTGTATCTATATTGATTCTTCTTTTCTCTTACTTTGGAGTCTCTGTCATTTACCAATTTTTTTCTGTTCCACTTAACCTTTCTGAGCCTCAGTCTCCTCTCAAAAATTAAAGTATAATATTTTCTTTACATGCTTTTTAATAAAAGAATGAAGAAAGATACTTGAAAAGTACTCACCTCAGTGAATGTTAGTTTTCTTCACTTCTACAGTGAATACTGAAGGATTTGTTAAGCAAAACAAGACTAAATCTAAGGAAGAATGTACATTTTAAGTCACAGGAAAGCAACTGGATTTTTTTTTAATTATAAAAATTTAAAATTCACAAAAGTTGAAAAGATAGTATAAAGAATTTTCTACCAATACATGGCTAATCTTGTTCAGTCCACACCATTATATATTCTTTCTACCTCCTGGATTATTTTGAAGGAAATATCCTAGACATTATCCTTAAATATTTTAACTCTAAAAGATAAGTCTTTACAAAACAAAAAACAAAACACCATACAAATATCACTCATGTCCTAGACCACCCACAGGCTCTGTGATTCACTGTGTTGACTCAGTATGTTTGCTCAGCACAGGAGGACTCAGCAAACATGATTACGTGAATATAAATATGACTATGATTGATTACAATGAAGGGATAAAATGCAAAATCAACAAGGGGAAAGGGTGCATCGGGTAAAGTCCAGAAGTAACCAGGCACAAGCTTTCAAGAGCCCTATCCCAGTGGAGTCACACGTGATATACTCTGTCCCTCAGCAATGAGTTGTGACAATACATGTAAAATGTTGTGGACCAGAGAAGCTCAAAAACTCAGTGCCCAGGATTTTTGTTGGAGGCATCCTCTGCCTAGCACAGACCAATTTCCTAGACTTCCATAAGGAAAGCAAATCTAGGAAAGCAATTTCCTAGACTTTCCATAAGGAAAGAAGCATATACCACACTGTTTATACAGTTTAGTCACAGCCACTTATGAGAGTCCTGGGAATGGGAGCACTCCTCCTTCACATCTCAGTTCCCAGATACCAGCTAAGAGTCAACCTAGCAATTAGGCCTTTCTAAGCGCAACACCCTTAAGCCTGCTATGTTAGCCCTTTTTCTGTACAATCCCTTAAAATTGTGTTAGCCATATTTTCATAAAATAACCAGTTAGTAGTCACATTTCCCAAATTGTCTTGTTTGGTTTTTTGTTTTTTTTGAGCCGGGGTCTCACTTTGCCACCCAGGCTGGAGTACAGTAACATGATCACCGCTTACTACAGCCTTGACCTCTAGGCTCAAGAGAGCCTTCCACCTCAGCCTCCTAAGTAGCTGGGACTATAAGTACACACCAGCATGCCTGGTTAACTTTTTTATTTATTTAATTTTTTTGTTGTTGTTATAGAGCTGAGGTCTTACTATGTTGCCTAGGCTGGTCTCAAACTCCTGGGCTTCAGCAATTCTTTTACCTCAGTTTCCCTGAGGCATTATTTAAAATTTTCCTCTTTCTTCAGCCAGGCCCTTTAAAATGGGGTTTAAACTCAAATTGACCTCTTTTACATACAAAGTTAGACAATTTGTCATTAACACCTAAGTCGTTACCCAAATGCATAAACTCTATTTTGAACACCCTGTCCTTCAGAAACAAACAAGGTCAGAATCTCTGGAACATAACTACTCCTGAAACACTTGCCTTGGCAATGTTTTTCTTTGCAGTGATATTTCTGCCTCAGGCTTCTTTGCTCTTGCTTTAAGGTTCATTTTCAAAAATTGAATTGAAAAATCCTATTAGGCCAATTGATGTTTGCTTGTTTTTTTTCTTCCTCTGTTTAGTAGATAAATGAATGGTCCAGTTCCATAGTTGACAGTATGCCTGGAATGTGAGCTAACACTCTACTTCACTAATAAAAAGAAAACACAAATTAGTACTTTATAAGAATCATGGTAAGAACAATACCAGTCTCTGGAGATGGTCTTACAATATTGATATCTTTAAGAATGAAAGCAAATTCTGAGGCACTGTGAGTCTTATAGGCTTTCAACTAAGTGATTCATATCAGGTTTTAAAAATTGTACCAATTATTTTTCCTTTAGCTTAATATCAGGAGCTTTATGAAGAAAATTAATTAAAATGTACATAACATTAGAATAAATATAGTGAAGGGTTATGGCCTATAAAAATACTGCCAGTGGAAAAGTTGGAGGCTGAGACTTCTTAACCTTGCAAAGAATAGATCTGGGGAACAGTCTAGAAGAACTAACATTTCTAAAACATGCACATATGCGTGGCAAATTAAGAAATTTGTATTTCTTTTCTAGCCATGAATATGGAATTACAGAAGTTCTATCAGAAAGCATTTATTTTACTGAACAAAATATTAGGGCTTCAAGAATCTAGACTGACCAAGGACTCACAGAGCGTTTCAGCAGAGTCAAGACTTAATAAGAACATTTTTATTTTTTTCAGAAAGACAGTGTTAAAAGAAAAACTTTACAGAAATTAAATTTAGTAGAGTTTATCTGAGCAAAAAACAGTTCATGAATCTGGCAGCACTCTAGTCAGAAGAGACTGAGTTACATCCAGCGGTGTTCATCAGATTTTATAGGCAGGACACAGAAGACAAGAACAGAAATCAGTTGATTGGCAACTGCCTTATTTGGGCATGCTCTGATCACTCACTGGCTCAATCTCAGTTTTTAGTTGCAAAGCCTAAGGTTGGCTTTGGCTTGTTTATATAGTAAATTAGTTTGCAGCTGAATACATAGGGGACTCAGGGTATGGGGCAGCAGGTTTTAGCCAAACTTAAGTGTATTTAACAACCGAAACACTTTCTTTAATCTGTACTGAGGACAAAGACAAGTGGACATAAAATTAGAAAGAAAGACTTAAATTTGGTTTCATCAGAAATGGCAGCCAAGCATGTGTGTATGTTCATTCATCAGAAATGAAACCCTGAATGATGCTTGTGAGTGGGGAATGGTTGATTCTAATTCACTGACAATGTTAGGCATTGCCTCAAAGATGGTTTCTTAATATGAAAAGAGAAGTATTTTTTTATAGCCACATGATTCTGAGCTCTTGTTTCTTATGTCTCTTTCTTCTAGAAAGGGGTCATCCCCACAACTAACCTACCTGAGTGTTGTTGATGCCGATCTACTCAACCAGACGTGGTCTCGGGGCGGCAATGAACAATGTCTCCGATACATTGCCAACCTCATCTCCTGCTTCCCTAGTGTGTGTCTTCGTGATGACAAGGGAAAGCCCGTCTCCTGGGCTATCACAGACCAGTTTGCTACCATGTGCCATGGCTATACCCTGCCAGAGCATCGCAGGAAAGGTTACAGCCGGCTGGTGAGCCTCACACTGGCAAGGAAGTTACAGAGCCGGGGATTCCCCTCTCAGGGAAATGTCCTGGATGACAATACGGTATCTATAAGCCTCCTGAAGAGTCTCCATGCTCAGTTCTTGCCTTGTCGTTTCCATAGGATTATTCTTACCCCTGTGACTTCCTCTGGCCAGCCTCACATCTAGCCCCGAGAAACTCCAGGCCTTTTCTTACTTTCCCTGAACATACACACACACTTGGCTGTCATTGAGGGGGAAATTAAAACTGCAATCAGGAGAATCTTGACTTGTTGAAAAGAGCCTGGAGAAAAACATGCAGGATCAACTTGAGACAACTTAATTCTTCCCATCTCAAACTTCTGTAGTAAAATAACTGTAGGGCAGGGATAGGTGCCTGAGAACAGAGGATGGTTGTCCTCATTTAGGATCCACAGCAGGAGACTAGGTTCTAAGGCCAGCACTTTTTTTTTTTTTTTTGGAGTCAGAATCTTATTCTGTCACCCAGGCTGGAATGCAGTGGCATGCTCATGGCCACTGCAGCCTCAACCTGCTGGGCTCAGGCAATCCCTCTGCCTCAGCCTTCCATGTAACTGGAACCACAGGTACACACCACCATGCCCAGCTAACTTTTCATTAATTGTAAAGACGAGGTCTCATTACATGGTGCAGGCTGGTCTCGAACCCCTGAGTTTAGGCAACCCTCTAGTCTCTGCTTCCTAAAGTTCTGGAATTACAGGTATGAGCCACTGTGCCCGGCCTAAAACCAACACTTTTAGCATCCTAGTAGAAATTACTACATGAGAACAAGTACCAAGTACTGTGTGGGTATGGCTTTATTACTGCTGCTTGGTCTTATGCTCTGTATTCTCACAGTCACACCAATTCTCTACTGCCGTAATGCTCCCCGACTCCCACTGTTATGTCTCTGTTCTTACCACTGCCCCTCGAAGTTCTCTGTAGAATATCCTGCTATTTTCACTGGAATTATTTGTTTTCCACTTCTGCGTAAGACTTTAGCCTATAGTTCTTCCCTGGGAATGTTCAAATGCAATGGTTCTTATGTTTTAGTGTAAAGGCAGTTTGCAACACAAAACACTGGGCCCCTTCTCCACGGTTCTAGATTTAATAAATATGAAATATGGCCTGATAATATGCATTTCTAACAGCTTCCCATTGCTTTGCTGCCTTAGACGAATGAAAATATGGGCATTTTAATTATGTAAACAGACGATGTAAGCATAAGACTAGACCTTACCTATAATCTATTTCAACCTCCTTATTTGTAATCTACTTTCTTCTATGAAACCAAGATTCACATATAGGTCTGTATGTGAGTATGCAAATAAACATATTACCATATATAATACACATATATATACATATTTCACTCATATCTCTACATGCATATGTATATTCAAAGACTTTTTATAAGATAATAAACTTCAACCCTCTTACTACATATGAAAAATTTGAAGACATTAAATAATAGGATTTAGTAAGAACATAATAGGGAAAATAAATAACTTCTCAAAGATTATACCCTATATAATCAATGCTGAAGGCCAAATCAGAATACTGTTATTTTTATTTCAATCTGTTCTTTTCACCGAGTCATGTATCTTTCTTAAAAATAAAATTTAAATGCTTAAATAATTAAAATGATACTTTTATTCTTTATCCTTGTCATTATTTTTTTTAATTTGGGTTCCAATTGGTTGTGTATGTATATCTTTCAAGGACAGTAAAGAAAGAGATGAACATCACCAGCTGTATTCCCCATTTGCAATAAAAGCAGGCACAAACACAATAGTTGGATTTGTTGAGTATGGATAAAGTTCACTTAGTCATATAGAAAATATTGGGTTTTTTTAATCCTCATGGAGATCACAAAATTCTGACTACAAAGGTAGGGGAGACTCCAAATTTTAGGTGTTTATACTGAGTAAAGGAAACAAAACTTGCTGAAGTAGAGCACATTTTGATAAAAAATAAATAAGACTCGGTGAGAGTGAATATATGCTTATGTCATCCTGAACCTGTGGTTACCTGGAAACGTATCCTAGGTGCCTGAGAGGAGAGCAACCAGAGTCCATAAACCTCTTGGGAGAATATGGTCTAGTTTCCACCCTAGGGATGCTCCTTATTCTTCACATTGATTAAGCATGGGTTACTCCTGCCTGATATATGGCAATGTTATTATTGCCTTATTTTCTTCCTAATAATAATTTGCCTAACATTTAATGTCTAACTATGTGCTGATAATTGTGCCAAATACTAGGTTAAGATGACTTAATCCTTGTGAAGGATAAAATATTATTGTGTGAATTCTGACTTAGAGGTTTTATGACTCACTAAAAGTTATGCAAGCTGTAAGTGGCCAAGTCATAATCAGAACCTGGGTTTGTTGCATTCCAACGCCTGAGCTTCAAGTCATTTTGCTTACTGGCCTCTCAAGCTGCTTGGAACACTTTGAAAATGTTTATTTTTTCCCTCATCTCATTGATTTCTGAATTTCTACCTCCATTTCCACCCAACAATGGACTCCATATTTTGAAAGTCTTTTTTTCTACCAATTTGCACTTCCTTACTTCTATCTTCCAGCTAACCATGTCGCATGTGATTGCTCAACTTTCAACCTTGTTTCTGATCCTTTTAAGCAATGTACAGAAAAATGTCTGGAATAAGGAAACAAGGACAGGGAGGAGAAAGAGACTCAAGAAATAGGAAGAGGCTTGATCAATATAGGGCCTTATTTGCTGATTTAAGGAAATTCTTCAATGTAGTATAAAAATCAGGGAGCAGGCAGAAGTAGGGATGAGAAGTGGCTGCAATGCAGAGTGGAGGAGGCAGGAACGGGAGCTCCAGATGCAGCTGGGGGGCACCATGACTGGAATCACCAACACGGAGCAAGACCCAGGCTCTGCAGCAGCAGGCAGATGATGCCGTGGAAGTGTAGGAAGAAATGTGGCCCTGAGAACAGGCTGAGGTGGCCTCTAATCCTAGGATCCAGCTGGTTGAAGAGGAGCTGGAACATGCTCAAGAGTGCCTGGCCACAGCCCTGCAAAAGCTGGCAGAAGCAGAAGAAACTGTTGATGAGAGTGAGAAAGGTTTGAAGGTTATTGAAAACTGGGTCTGAAAAGATGAAGATATGATAGCGCTTCAGGAAATCCCACTCAAAGAAGCAAACACATTGCGGAAGAGGTAGATAGGCAGTATAAAAGGTGGCTCTTAAGTTGATGATTATTAAAGGACACTTGGAACGAAACGCACAGAGGAAACAGCAGAGATGGCAGAACCCGATTGCCAAGACATGGATGAGCAGATCAGACTATGAACCAGATCCTGAAGTGTCTGAGTGCGGCTGAAGAAAAGTAGTCTAAAAAAAAAGGCAAATATGAGGAAGAGATCAAAATTCTTACAGATAAACTCAAGGAGGCAGACCCCCGTGCTGAGTTTGTTGAGAGATCAGTAGCCAGCCTGGAAAAGACAATTGATGATTTGGAAGACAAACTGAAATACACAAAAGAGGAGGGCTTCTGTACACAAAGGAGGCTGGCCTATCCTCTGCTTGACCTGAATAAGACTTAGAGCACCCCATTTCCACCCTGCCACTGCTCGTCTCTCTGATCACGACTCTACCTGAGGCCAGGCTGCCCAAAAGCCATCCTTGAACATGAGGGCTGATCTCTCAGTGGAGGGCTTCTTTCTTCTTTCATCATCCCTTCCACACCCCTGTGTCTTTTTCACCAAACTGTCCCTGCCTCTTCCCACAGATTCCAGCTGGGCTAGAGGCTGAGCACCTTTAGGAAAGACGTTTAAGGGAATGTGAGCACAATGCAAAATGTCTTTAAAAGCATGTTGTGCCCAGCATGATGGCTCCTGCCTGTTATCCCAGCACTTTGGGAGGTGGAGGCGAGAGGATTGCCTGAGCCCAGGGGTTTGAGACCAGCCTGGGCAACTTGGTGACACCTCGTCTCTACAAGAAATCAAGAAAAATTAGCTGGGCCTGTTGGCACTTGCCTGTAGTTCCAGCTACTTGGAAGGCTGTGGTGGAAGGATCACCTGAGCCCAGCAGGTCGAGGCTGTGATGGCTGTGAGTGTGACAGCACTTCAGCCCGGGGGATAGAGTGAGACTCTGACTCAAAAACAAAAAAATAACAAAAATAAAAATAAAAGCAAGTTATAATGTTAACATTTTGTAATTACCATCTTTTTGTTGTTGTTGTTGTTGTTTTATAGCAACCATTTGTAAAACATTCCAAATAATTCCACAGCTCTGAAGCAGCAGTCTAATCCCTTTTTCACTTTTGAAAGGTGACTTTTCTGCTTAATGCATATTGCCTTCTCCATAGAGGAGGGAGAAAAGTATAGGCCTCTTTTACTGAGAACCAAACAGAACCCAAGGAAAGACTCCACTATGGGAAATTTCATTGCATTATGCAAAGTACCAGCCAAACCAGAAAGGTGATTCCAGGAGGAGTTAGCCAAAACAATACCAAAAATGTGCAGCTCAGGTTTTCAGCTTTAAGGTATTTTTGAACAACTTTATCTTTTATTTTCTTCATTAGAAGTGACCAAATTAAGATGGTGAGACCTCTGAGACCAAATTTTTTACCCATGTCTACCCCCTTCCCAACTGCTCAGAGCATGAATCATGTGCCCTCATGTTCAGGTGATCATTTAATTGCTCTCCGGCCTCCTTGGAAAAAAGTTATGATTTTGTCACTGATTTAGCCATATGAAGCTCACTACCCTTTTCGGGGTCTGAAACTGCTGTCTCTAAAAATGCCATCTTATTGTGCTTTGTATCAGCCAGTGCTGGAGAAATCTTGAATAATTTTTTAAATATTATATTATTTTGAAACATTTCTTCTTTGGATTTTAGGTGCCCTGGTCAGTCACCCCATCTGGTTGTGAGAGTTCTACAATTTGTAGGTTGGCAGTGTGTTGATCTTTGTAGTTTCTTTCCCTACCCAGTCCCCAATTTTTTGAAGGTTTCTATGAGGTATATATCCTGTAGCTTATTGATTTCAAATGTAGTCTCCTTTGGTGTGGTCTCTTGTGGTCAGCTGGGAGAAAGAGGACGCCATACTTATTAAACTTCACATCAGAAAATGTTTTTAGCCGGCACGGTGGCTCACACCTGTAATGCCAGCACTGAGAGAGGCTGAGGCGGGACGATTGCC